CATAATGTTCAATTTATTATAGAGCAAAGGAAGCCGGAATATTGGATTTTCACATCTCCATCAGAGGTCTGCATCAGAAGTCATTTATTTCATCGTGAAGCTAATGACCCCAATGTGTAGCCATCTGGAGAACATTCATAACTATTTTCAGGTTAGAAGGCTGTCTTGTCATTATAGAGACTTAGAAATCACTAAGTGAATTTGAGATTTCATTATTGGGTGAGAAAATCTGAAGAGAAATGAGAGCAGTTGCTGGAGCAGCTGCTCTAAAATTGTTTTCCTTTTTAGTGCTTAGTCCCTGAGAAGCATGACGTGATAGGCGGACCTGAAGGGAACGCTCAGGAGTACCAAATAATGTCTTCTTGTTATCTGAGACTCCTGCAGATTTTTCATTGGATTTTTGCTTGGTGAGTATATGGGAAGTGTTAGTAGAGAGGAATGAGTATGCACTTGAATCCTGTGCAATTTAGCAAGACCCTTTCTCAGATAAAAAGGGCTGGGGATGTAGCTCAATAGTGGATCCTCAGTTCCTTAAAAAAATGTTTCTCGGTCTACATAGAATACAAACCTGTAATTTTAGTACTCAGGAGCCTGAGCCAGGAGGATTACAAGTTTCTAGGCCAGCCTAAGCAAGGACAGCCTAGGCTACATAGTGAGAACCTGTTTCCTAAAAGACAAACAACAGAAAGGGGGGTGGTTTCTAGAAAGTTACAAATAAATCCTAGTTTATATGGTAAAGAGCTAAATGTAGTATACACTAAAGTATTTTGGATAGGTGTTCCAGGGGGACTTGATCAGGCCCTTAAGGGTAGGTGACCAAGAGGGAGGTAAAGGAGAGACTCGGAACGCAGGATGGATGGAAGTTGAAATAAGGAAGTTATGTCCCATAAATACTTTGTGTCCCAGGTCTAGCTCTGTACACTGTCTTTTTTACTTAGGTTTTCTGGACAATCTAACCCAAGCTTAGACCTATGCTAAATTTTATATGCTGAACTATAGGCAGTACCTACTCAGTACCCCCTACAATGTATCGTTAACAGCTCAGACTTCTCGCATCCCAGCAGGATGTGTCACTGTTGTCTGGCTCTGCCTGGCTTGGGAAAGGGCACTGCCAGTTGTCTGATTCAGTTGTTCCTCTACTCTGCACTTTTTCTTGCTGACATGAGGTCCATCTGTTTTACCTACATTGCTTCCAGATTTTGACCGTCTCTCATGTGAACCAGCTTAATTTCATGGTTGGTCTTGGCCTGTGGTCCACATGATCCTCCAAGAGAGAGCCAATCATGTCTTGTCCTACTTTTGGTCTTTGATTGCTATTAGTTTTTTCTTGAGATCAAACTCATGAGCTTCTCTCAGGACTTCTGCCTCATTGCTGCTGTTCTACTTACTGTCTTGCTCTCTGCTCCCGTCCATACTGAGTTCATTTCAGCCCCCTGCAGTTTCCACCTGAACAGCTTAACACAGACTCAGCCAGGATCCCTTCCTCTTTGACCTTTTGTCTTTTCTGACTCACCAAATTGTATGACATCAGAATTTGAACTAACTTCTTCAGAGATACCTCTCTTGGCTATGTAAACCTCCTACCTCTCTGATCCCACATTTTCTCCTAACACTCCTCTATCTACCATATTTTCTTAAAATTATTTGTTCATCTATCTTTCCTGCTGGACTATGAGCTCCATTAATCATTTTTGTATTGTTTTGTATCATGACCTAAAAGTAGTACCTAACAGAAAATTTGAATAGACAGTTATCAAGAGAGGTATATATGGCAAATAAATTCGTGAAGGAATGATTTTTATTGCATGCTAAGGACATGCAAATTAAAAGTACAGTGAGATAGCACAGCATCTCCATTAGCATGACTACTGAATCAAAGACTCACTATGCTATTGGGAGGACATAGAATGGTGGAGCCACTTTGGAAAATAATTTGCAGCTTTCTTAAATAGATACATCTATGATTCAACCTAGTTATTCCCTAGGTATTTCGCAGAGTCTTTAGATTTTTCTGAGACAGGGTCATCCTGTAACCCAGGCTGGCCTTGAACTCGTGGGATTACAGATGTGTAACCCTCCCCCCCTTTCCAACTTCTACATAAATTTTTTTTTTTTTACAAATTTTGTACATTAGTGTTTATAGCATCTTTACTTGTAGTATCCCAAGTAGAAACAACCCAGATGTATATCACCTGGTGAATATATAGATGGTGATATATGTATATGGTGGAATATTATATGCAGCAACATAAATAAAATAGGATCATGCTAAACTAAAAGGACTACTACAAGGTTTATAGTATTTTAACCTATTTATGTAATAATCTAGAACAGTCATATATTATTACTGTGATGGAAAACAGATCAGTGTTTGCCTAGCACTGAGCAAGAGGATGAAATGGAATGGATTACGAAGAAAGGAAACTTGGGGGTGATGGATATGTTCATGATTTTCTAGTGATGATTTCATGAGTTTTTAAATCAGAATTGACAAGGGCTGGGGATATAGCTCAGTGCACAGCCCTACCTGGCAAGCATAAGGTCCTGAGTTCGATTGCTGGTACCAAAGAATAAAATAAATCAGAACTGACAAATCTAACACTATATGTACTTTGTAAACTGGGTGTGGTGGCACATGCCTGCAATCCCAGCACTCAGGGTAAGGCAGGAGGTTCTATCTGAGTTTGAGGTCAGCCAGGGCTACATGGTGAGACCTGTCTCAAATAAAACAAAATAAAAAGAGACAGGGTGAAATAGGATTGAGCTTTACATGTGAATGTAGGGAAAGGGTAGGTTCTTTATCCAGTCCCTGCTATGGACTAGACGTTGACTTGGCAATTTATTTATTTATTTATTTTATTTTATTTTTTTTTGACTTGGCAATTTAACAAAATTAGTCCTATATTGTTGGAGAGACTCTATGGACTAGACGTTGACCTCTAAAATGTAAGCAGTGAGAAACTGTTAAGTCTGTAAAGAAAGACTGTTTTAAGTGCACATTAGCTTCTCGCCTCACATTTGGGAGTTATGACTGTATTTGATGCTTGTGTACTTTCAGTTGGTTTTTACACGATTGACTTGATGGTACAGACTGGGGCCAGGATCCTCAAGTGCCATCTGAGTTGCCTCCTGGGAACAGCTAAAGGACCTTATTTGACTTTCGTTTAGGAGTGGATTTTCTCAAGTGGAGAATCGCCGTGCTCTGTATTCAGCCCTCAAGATGCTTACTGTGCGAGTGAAGCAGTGGCAGCCTGATGAGGCCTTGGAGGAGCTTATCAGGTCAGCACTCTTGCACATCCTCCAGTGCTTTCCGAGGAAGTGGGTCAGCAGGCTTTCTTTACAAATATTTGATTGTCGTAGTTAGAAAAGAAATTGATGTTTGCAGCTATTTTTCCTCAGCATTTGAGCTTTCTCACCTATGTATTATGATAAATGCTGGAGTACTGGGAGTCCTGGGCTAAATTATTGTAAAACTTCATGCATAATTTGGCATAATTATGATTCCCACCTCCCATTATATCCTTGAATGGAAAGTAGATCACATATGATGCAGTCTTTAAAAGGTATGTTTTTTCTACTTTATAATTGCTTTCCACGTTGTTTCTAGTGATTGCAGATTTTTTTTTTTTTTTTTTTTCAATTTAAAATGAAGAAAGGAGAGCCCAGCATGGTGGCTGACAACTGTAATCCAGCACTCAGAAAGCTGACGCATGTGGATTGCCACAAGTCCAAGGCCAGCTTGGGCTACATAATGAGTTCAAAGCCAGCCTGCTACACAGTGAGACCCTGTCTCAAAAAAAAGAAAAAGAGACCAAAAAAGAGGATTAATTCTGATGAGGCTGTCAAGCAGTAACAAGGAACTTGAACAACTTCTGTGGATTTAACCCTATGTGTTTGTTTCTTGTCTCTATATAGCCAGAGCTTCAGTTACCTGCAGAATTTCCACCTCAGCATCCCCAGTTTCCAGTGTGCTCTTTGCCTCCTCAGAACTTTGATGGCTCTTTTCAAGAGATCAGTAGATCCTGCTCAGAAGAAAGAAAGAATTGGTGATGGCCCAGACCCCCCCCTCCCCTCCATGAATAGGATTAATTTGTCACACTTGTGAATTTGCAGCTTCCCAGAGCTGGAACATTTATGCATGTAAATTCCCATATCATCCTGGGCATAGGTCTTTCAAGAAAGCCAATTTCCCAGAAGGAGCTATGACTAATTTCCACTGACACACTGCTAAGGGTGGCCTTGGTTAGATCAGCTAGCTAGCTAGTTTCTTTACTTTCTTTTGAGATGATGGGGATCGAAGCATATTCTACCACTGAGCTATACACTCATGGATAATTTTCTTTGTGTCTTAAACTGTAATCATATGTTGCTGCTTTTTGGTTTTTGTTTTTTTTTTAAACTATCTGAAGCATTTGGCAAAAAGCAATATAAACCATGAGGTTAATAGAATGGTAGATAAAATTAGGATTAAGTAAAAAGGAAGTATTGGTCTCTTCCCTGACTTTTTTTTTTCCCTTCTGTTTTGTGTGTGTGTGTGTGTGTGTGTGTGCGCGCGCGCGCATGTACGTGCCCAGCTCAGCCCACCCTAGGGGTGGGGCTGACGTCACATGTGGTGCCTGGCATCAAACCGCAATCCCTGCACTTGCCTAAGCAGGCAGTTTAGACTGCTGAGCTGTCTTGCTGGCCCTCTTCTGTTTTGTGAGACAGGGTCTCACTGTGTTGGTCAGGCTGGCCTTGAACTATGTACCCCGGGCTGGCTGCAAGCTTGCTATGTAGTCTATACTGACCTCAAATGTATAGTGGTCTTCCAGCTTCAGCCTCTGAATTGTTAAGTCTTTTGTTTTTTGAGACAGGAGGGTCTCACTATGTTCCAGTCTGGTCTAGAATTTGTACTCTTCCTGCCTCAGTTTGGCAGATACTGGGATTGCAGATGTGTGCTACCACATCCTGGTCTCTAACCTCTTTTTTTTTTTTTTTTTTTTTCTTTTTCTATTATACTGGAGACAACCCAGGTCCTTTGCACTGAGTTACATCCCCAGTTTTTTTTGTTTGTTTGTTTGTTTGTTTTTGAGACAGTCTTTCTAAGTCACTAAACTGTCAAGTCTAGGCTTGAACTTGCAGTCCTACCTCAGCTTCCAGAGTGCTGAGATTACAGATGTACACTACCAAACCTGGATCTGACCGTTTTCTTTTCTTATCACAACTCTTGGCATCCTGCTCATCCTACTTGGCAGCACAAGTAGAAAGCAAGATGATGATGTGAAGCAAATCTTTATCATGCCCTGCTGGTGAGAGGGGAGGGCTTAGCCTTTGCTTTTGGTCTGCCAAGGGAGCAAGCTCAGCTTTCTACAGCCAGCAATGCTCTGCTCTGTGTGTTTGTGTGGTTGCTCTGTGTGTGTTAAGGGTTAGGCTGAGTGCTGCTGTGTGGTGATACTTGGATGCACTTATTTCTAGCAGGAGGCTAATTGGAACAGAAATAAACAGGGTTTTTAAAGGACCTGAGGAGAATGGGGAGATAGCTCAGCAGTCTAAGTGCCTGCCTGGCAAGCGCAAGGACCCGGGTTCAATCCCTGGTACTATGTGCTATGCTGGCCTTGGAACCCCAGGCGCCCCATGAAACCAGGTGTGGTGGAACATACTTGTAATCCCACCACTGGGGAGGCTGAGACAGAGGATAACTAGAGCCCAGGCTGGGAAGCAAGACCATGTACTAAAGAAATAAACACATAAATAAGTAAATGATTAAAAGGCCTCAGGGACTTCTTAGTTAATAAAAATCTTTTGATCTGTAATTATTTACAAAAGTATCAGAAACCTGAATGAGTTCATCTGATAATTTACATTATCTTCTTATATTTTAATGTCATGCTGTGCCATTAGTATGTGTAATAATTATGGCAATTAAAATATAGACTCAATAAAATTAATTAAAAATAAAAATATATATTTTTAAAATTTTATTATTCTTTTAAAGAATGAGCGGGCCAGGGAGATAGCTCAGTAGAATAAGCGCTTGCAAGCACAAGAGCCTGAGTTCAATCCCTGGTTCCGGGAAAAAAAAAAAAAAAAATGAGTTTAGTTTCTGTCATGTGAGATGCCTTTGCCGTGTTTTCTAACAGCTTCCCTGGCCAGACAGTTCCTCTGCCGGGCATGGCCGCACTGCGAGAAGGAGAAGAGCCCTCTCTTCAAGGACCAGCTTCAGGATTTGCTCTGGTGAGGTTTTCAGTTTTTTCTTCAAGCCAGATAGCCTTTTCTCATTTATACTGTTGGCACCCCTCACCTGGGCAGACACTGAGGAATTACCCCCTTTTTTTTTTTTTTTGGCGGAACCAGGTACTGAACTCAGGCCCTTGTGCTTGCCAGGCAAGCGCTTATTCTATTGAGCCATCTCCCTGGTCCTGGAATTACCTTTTTAAGGGAGAATTTGAGAGCAATGAAGTATGATTAAAGTGAACATAACTTGAGATCTGTGGATCTTAAGTACCTCTGCAGTGGCAAATAGAAATACCAAATCAGCGCCCATGATTTGGAGGCGGATTTATTTACATATGTGGGCACTGATCAGAATCATTCTCAGAATATCAGGCCTCCATCTTTGTTGGTGGTCTAGGACTTATGTGAAATAAGAAAGCAGAAGATACAGAGGCAGAATGGCTTGTCAGTTGGAGACTGGTTAATACAATGTGCATCTTAGTGCCCAACTATGCATCACAGTGACCAGCCACTTCTAAGAAACAGGAGCAGCCAGAACTGGGACAGGAACTATTACCTGGACAACTGAAGTACACTAGGTGGGAGTTTGGGGAGGCATTTTTTTGTTACATCTCTAGCTCTGTTTTCTATTGTTAATAGTGCCTTGTTGCTAAATCAAATCAGATTGGACATGGAGGTGTCTGCAGTTGTATCCTACCTTGTTAATAGAGGTTAGAGCTGGCAAGGTCTCAGGAGAGAAATGTGGATGTGGGGATTCTGTAGGCAGTGTTTATACCCTCTGACTGTTCTTATAGCATCTACCTGGAGCACACTGACAGTGTGCTGAAGGCCATAGAAGAGATCGCTGGTGTTGGTGTCCCGGAGTTAATCCACTCTCCAAAAGAGGCGTCTTCTACATTCCCCACATTAACCAGGTACAGGGACTCTTCCCTGTAGTTGTTTTCCTGAGAGTCGTGCTGCCCAGTGGATGTATTTTCCAAATTCTAGTAGAGATAGTGGTACCACCATTCTTTCAGAGTGGAGTGTCTACTAGCATACCTTTCTTCCATAGAACCCTCAGCTTGTCTGTGGAAAGACCTCATTGAGAAGGAATTTTCAGTGGGTGCAGGATTCAAGAGTAATGAACTTCTGTCTGTTCTTTTGTCCTTTAAATTTGAGACTAGAGCTGGGAGTGTAGTTCAGGTTAGTATATCGTGCTTAGCATGCGTGAAGCATGTGTTCAATCCTCAGCATTATAAAACAAACAAAACCAAAATAGGCATGATGGATAGCATGTGCCTGTAGTGGCAGCTACTTGAAAGGTTGAGGCAGGTAGGTTTCAGATTCAAGCCCAGCCTGGGCAACTTAGACCCAAAATAAAAATGGAAACAGGAATGGGGGTGTAGTTCAGTGTAAAGACCTCAAGTTCAGTCTCATACCACAAAAATTTTTGTAAAAAATAAACATGAGACTATTTTCCAGTCTTTTGACCATTTTGAGGACAGGGTGACCGTTGTATCTAATCATGTATGTATAAAGGGGTTTGTGTCTCATTGTAGACTTGTGTGATTCATAAAGTACCTTCACAGAGCTGGTGAGATGGCTCAATGGTCTAAAGCACCTACTTAGAACAAGCTTAGCAAAGCACAGGAACCATGGTTCAATCCCCTAGCACCACATGCCAGCCAGCCCCGCCCCCTGGGGCAAAATTAAAAAAAAAAATTTAAAAAATTTTTTAAAAAAAGTACCTTCACAAATTTTATTTTGCCAAATCTTATTTGGTCTTTCTGTAATTCTCTAAAGCTAAACATCATTCTACACTACAGTTGAGGGAAATAAGTGTTAAAAGGAACCCTCTGAAGCTTACAGGGGCAGTAAAATGACCACAGACAAGACTCAGCCCTGACCGGTTCACTGATCTTCCTATGCTGCCTACTGTTGCCTGTCGTGAAAGTTAGCTCCACTTTCATAGGGCTCATCCTGGCTCACTCCTGTTCTACCCTCTTTAAAAGGACTCTTGTGAAAGAACATTCAGAGAGGTGGTTGAGGGAAGAAGGTTACTTTTGTTTTCATGACCTTTTTCCAGGAAGTCTCAGTGTGTGTCTGTCTCTTCTTTTTTCCTTCTTTGCTTTGTTTTTCTTTTGCAGTACTAAGGATTAAACCCAGGGTCTTCACACTGAGCCATATCCTGAGGTTTTTAAGAAAATAGCTCACTAAGTTGCCAGTGATGGGCTTGACCTTGTCATCCTACAGCCTCAGCCTCCCGGGTGCTGGGGTTACTAACATGTGCCATAGTGCCTAGCCCTCAAGTTCTCTCTGAGGAGGGTATCATGTGGGTATGCTTGCTTCCCTCTTGTAGGCACACTTTTGTCATTTTCTTCCGTGTGATGATGGCTAAGCTGGAGAATACAGTGAAAAGCCTTCAGGCTGGCTCAGCAACACAGCCACCGCAGGTGGGTCAGACACTCCCCTCACCAAGAAATGGACTCTGATTTGCTTGGAAATGGCTGATTTTTTATTTCTTGGGTCCAGAGTTTTTCTTAAGCTATTGCCTTTGACTTAGCAAGATTTAGAATATTTTTTCAAAGGCCTTCTGTTTAGTTTCCTTTTCTTCTTGTTAGAGGTGAAAATCAGGCACTATTTTCCCTGGCTACTGAGGAAAGATAAGAAGGGAAAGGCCACTTGCTAGGAGGTTAAGTCTGCCTGTTGGAAACATGTAGGCCTTGGCAGCCTGTGAACCAGAACTGAACAAGACTGCCAAGCATTGTAGCCACAGGGAATTGGAAGCCAATGAGCTCTGGCGGCCAGCAGGTGTACTGCGGAGGGTTTTACCTACTAAAAGACTTTTTTTTTTTTTTTAATGTATTTGGTACAGGGTCTTACTCCGCAGCTCAGCTCGGACTAGTAGTGATCCTCTTGTCTCAGCCTTCCAGCCCTGGGATTACAGGCATACCCCACCATGCCTGGTCTCAGAAGACTCCTTAAAATACTATGATGTCACCACAGTGTGACAGGGTTCAGACCATCTTGTTGGGTGCACTGGGTACTACAACTCTTTAGAGAGACAGTTGGCTTCCGTCTCAGAATAGCTATATAAATGAAGACTGGTGCAATTGTGGGAGTCACTAGGAGGGGGACCAGCTGTGATTCAGAGGCACTGGTGTTTGGCATTCCCAGGTCCATGAAGAGAAGCTCCTGTATTGGAACATGGCTGTTCGAGACTTTAGTATCCTCATTAACCTGATAAAAGTGAGTATGGAGATTCCTTTCTCGCTGTGAGGACGCTAGAACTGGCTTTCCAAGCTGCCCCTCCGTGCTTCTCCCCCGCCTTCCTCAGGGAGCCCCTCCAGTTGTCTTTCTCTTGTTTTTCAGTTAGTCCTTTTGAAGCAACTTTCTCTCTTTAGGCGCTTTTGTTCCTTTTTCCCCTGCCTCCCACCTGGGCCACATTACCTAGCCACTTGTTATTCTTGTTCCCCTGCCATCAAAGCACACTTCTTTTCTTTTCTTTTCTTTTCTTTTCTTTTCTTTTCTTTTCTTTTCTTTTCTTTTCTTTTCTTTTCTTTTCTTTCTTTCTTTCTTTTCGGAACTGTGGATTGGACTCAGGCCCTTGCACTTGCCAAGTAAGTGCTTATTCTACTGCACTATCTCCCTGGCTCCCACACTCCCTTTTTCTACCTTGAGTGCTTTCACTGCTCTTCAGATGCTCCACTCTCTCCCACCCTCCCGCAGCTTGTGCTCAGGCTTGTACTTCAGCCCTGGATGTCCCCTTCCCTTCCCTTCCCACATGACCTTGTTCTGAAGACTGCAGCCCTCTTCTCCACATGCCCAGTGGGAATCATTTCATTTTCTCTTTCTTTTCTTAGAATTCAGTTAATGAAGGTTATGTTATTCTGTGAATTAATTTGTAATAAACCAGCCAGTTTGTCAACTTCAGTTGAGAAGTTTCTGCAGCTCCTAGAGCTGTGCTGTGTATAGTAGGAAGGGGCTGGGGTACTGGCGGAGCACGTTTCAGCTTTAGTTTCTTGTCTTTTATGTCTCCAGGTATTTGATAGTCATCCTGTGCTGCATGCATGTTTAAAGGTGAGAGATTTACTGGACCTTGATTATTGTTTGTTTGGTGGCATTAGGGTTTGAACCCAGATACTGCAACTGAGACAGGGTCTGGCTAAGTTGTCCAGACTGACCTTGTATTTCTTATCACTCACTTCCTTAGTGCTAAATTTCTGCTCCTATACCTGGCTATGATTCTTTGCAAAGCCATAGGGCCAGGTCTGTCGCTATAGCTTACTGGTGGAGTGCTAGCTTATATGCAAAAGGCCCTGGGTCCATCTCTAGCACTACAAAGAAGTAAAATAAAAAAAAAAATGTCTTGAGTGACCTCATGAGCTATTACTATGATAACTGTCAAACCCCTTACCCATGGGGGAATCTGAGACTAGGAGCCACTCTGAGTTTCAGTGTAAGTAGATGATCTCTGACCAGCCCCCCATACCCCTGTGGTGGTGGTGGTACTGGAGATTGAATTCAGAGAATGCTGAGAAAGATCCCTATCTCTCTTAATTTAAGACAGATTCTCATGAAGTTAGTTAGACTAGCCCTTGACTTCCTGCCTCAGCCTCCCAAGGAGCTGGGAATTACAAATGTGTACTGACCTGGTATCCTGTTGTTATATACTGACCTTTTTCCCTGTCTCCACTCCTATCACCTGGCACAGCGTGGAAGCCAAGTGAGTGGCACAGTGAGTTGGAGAGTGTGATTTCTGTGGTTAGCAAGCTTGGAAGTCAGCATATGCTCCCTCAGCCCTCTGCAGCTTCTTCCTTTTGGAAGCTGGAGTTCCTCCTCCTCACTGTTAGGCTGGGCGCGGCCTCTGATCATTGGCTATATCTGAGGCAGGTAAATTTTGCCTGAATTCTCCAAATCAACTTTTATTTTATTTATTTATTTGGTCTTTTTGAGACACATTCATCATGCAGTTCAGGCTGACCTTAAACTAACTGTAGCTCAGGTTGGTCTCAAACTTGAAATAATCCTCCAGCTTCAGCCTCCCAAGTGCTTCACGACAGGTATGTGTTTCCACACCCAGCCATATCAGTCTTTTAAGTTGTTCCATAGTTGTTTGTTTTCCAGTACTGGGGTGTGAACCCAGGACCTCACACTTGCTACTAAGCTACATTCCCTGCCTTTTCTAAGATAAAAGTCTCACTAAGTTATCCAGGCTGGTCTTGAACTTGCAGTCCTTTCATGACCTCCCTAGTGGCTGAGGTTACAGGTGTGCACCACCATGCTTGGTTCATACGTTTCAGGGGTGTTTTGTTTTGAGACAGGATTTCACTTTGTAGCTCAGGCTAGTCTTAAGGTCACTATGTAGTCCAGTCTGGCCTCGAACTTGTGGCAATCATTCTGCCTCAGACTCCCAAATTCTAGTATCACGAGTGGCCACCACCATGCCCAGCTCAAATTTGTTTTTTATGTATAAAAATAAAAACATAATCTTCTTGGGCCAGGTAATGCTGTGGTGTTGCTGGCAGAGGCTTTTCAAGTGAATTTCTAAGATAGAATCACTAGTGTGTCTCTTTTCTTCAGTATGGACGTCTCTTTGTGGAAGCATTTCTGAAGCAATGTATGCCACTCCTGGACTTCAGTTTTAGAAAACATCGGGTAAGAGCTGAGAGCAAAGGCATGCTCTGAAGAGTTGCTCAGCAGATAAATCCATGGACTCTGGGGGTGGTGACAGTCCTCCCTGCCTGAGTTCTTTTTTAGTACTGGCAGTTGAACTCAGGACCTTCTGCTTGCCAGGCAGGCAATTATGTCACTGCGCTATGTCCCCCACCCACTCCCGGCCTGAGTTCTGAGCCACAGTTGTGTTTCATACCACTTTAGGTATAGCCTGAGATGCCCTAACAGGATTGAGTATTCCACAGTGGACTGCATGCTGCAGGCCCATCCATTCAAAGCCAGTGCTCTACTCATGCTCAGGTCTGAGGAGTTCCTTTCAGCTTGCTTCCTCATGCTGCTGGACTCCAGGGCCTCACGTGTCAGCATGTTGTGTGCTTGTTCTAGGCTACCCTGTGTCTACTCTTAGGAACCAGTGATGAGAATAGACCTCATTTGTGTCATAAAACTGTTGTTTTAGGGAGTAGTCTTGGCCAGGGTTTTTTAGCCAGCTGATAACCTGGGGATAGAGTTATAAAGATAGAAACAAAGATAACTTCTTAAATATATTTTGTAAATTGACTGCAGAATACCAAAATTTCTTATATTTCTTTTTTTAAAATGTATTTATTTTAGGATCTCACTACACAGATTGGACTGTGTGATCCTCCTGTTTTCAGCCTCCCAAGCACTGGGATTATAGGCATGCACCACCACTCCCAGTCTCAATCGCTATTTCAGTGTGTCCTGGGGTGGGTCCAGCACAGCACACCAAGGATCCAACCCTGGTCCCTGCGTGTGCCTAAGCAGGGGCTTTAATCTGCTGAGCTATCTGATTGGCCCTCATATTTCTTATTTGGTTACTTCTTCATAACCTTAAAAGAGAAGTGATATTTTATCCTAATTGCAAATGGGAAAGCTGAGACATGAAAATATACTTCAAATTATGATGTACAGCTTGCAGATTGGCACAGGGATAGAAGCTGGAGTCCTGAGAGTGGGAGCCAGTGCTCCTGCTGAGTCTCAGATTAGGATGATTCTTCACCTGGGCTGGAACCCACAGTTTTGCCTTTTGGGGTTGCAAAGATGTTTTGCATCTAAGATGTAATTAGGACATTCCATGCTGTGCTTATGAATTTCATTGTTTTTAGGAAGATGTTTTGAGCCTGCTGGAGACTTTCCAGTTGAACACAAGGCTGCTTCATCACCTATGTGGGCATTCTAAGGTAAGAGGAAGCAGGTTTTAGACTGCACTTGGCGCAGGTACACCACCCTTCTGAGCCTTTATATAGGGGACTATGTGCAGAGGCTGTTTAATTCAGTACAGTCAGCCTTCGCAAGGCATGGTGCAAACACGTGGAGTTCAAGCTGTGCAAGAAGCTGAGACAGGATTACAAGTTTGAGTCTAGCTTGGGCAGTTTACCAAAACTCTGTCTCAAAATATAAAAAGGGCTCAGTGGTAGTGCATTTTTGTAGCAGGTGCAAGTGCCTGAGTTTAGTTCCCTCTACTGTGGAATGAAGGAAAATCTAAGTTGCTGGCTGAGAATGAGCAGTTAGCTAGAACAGGAAATTCTGCATATGAAATTTGATTCCAATTCCATAGTTCCTTTTCCTGGTCTCTCATATAAGGGACATACAGTGCTGCTATAAAGTGTGCTAGTTGGGAGAAATGTAAGTGATGACTGCTGAGACAAGTCTTTTAAAAGCTGCCATCTGAGAACTTTTCATCTGTTCTACTTGTCAAGTAATACACCTATCTCCTATGGGAACAGACAGGTTTGGTTTTTTTTTGTTGTTTTTTTTTTACGGTGCCAGCAATTGAACTCAGGACCCTGTGCTTGCCAGGCAAGCACTTATTCTACTGAGCTATCTTCCCAGCCTCATCCTATGGGAACAGTTCAGTGTTAAAGGGCTTTCACTGCTGCCTTCTCAATAGTTGGTGAACAGTCCTTATGTCTACAGGAACACAGGACCCCTAGAGTTCTATAGCCACCTAGAAAACCATCTATCATTTGAGCAATTCCTGTTGCTCACTTTAGTCCCTGGTTCTAAACTTAGAAACTGCCAAACAGCCAGGTATGGTAGTGCATGCCTATTATCCCAGCATGTGGAAGGCTGAAGCAGGGGAATCGCCACAGATTCAAAGCCAGCCTTGACTCCATAGTAAGTTCAAGGTCAATCTGTATTACATAGTGAGAGCTTGTCTCCAAGAAGGGGAGGGACATGCAATGGCATTTTAAGAACTCTGCTAAGAAGCTTTTTATTTAATATCAGTATAATATTGTTTAAGGAATATTTTAAGTCCAGTAAGAAGAAGAATCAAAAGTTGGTGGTATGTCTTCCTTACTTTCTGTCTTTTAGCTGCCATTGTCTGTGCAGTACTCTACCAAAGTCCTGCTATTTGATAGACCTTGTTTCTGGGCCATATAGGCAGGGTGGGAGATCTTATTCTGTTTGAGATGTGAGGAATAGAAAGGGTAAAAGCAGGATGACAAACCCAGACACAATGGATATATTCATTTTCGTCCAGATTCACCAGGACACGAAACTCACCAAACATGTGCCTTTGCTCAAAAAGACACTGGAGCTGTTGGTTTGCAGAGTCAAGGCAATGCTTGTCCTCAACAATTGTAGAGAGGCCTTCTGGCTAGGGAACCTCAAAAACCGGGACTTGCAGGTAAGACTGCCAGTGATGATCTCCTTCATCCTGAGTATTAAAAAAGTTAAGAAAGGTAACTTCAGCCCTGCTTGCTTAATAAGATTATTTTAAGTCTGTGGCTGTTCAGTTCTTAGAGTGCCCTAGTGACAGGGCTGTTACAGACTGCATTCCTCATCCCAAGCAGCAGAGCTGAAACCTGCTGTTAATCAGGAGTAGGCATCTTCTGCCTTACTGAGGGGAGAGTCACAGCAACAGTTTTCTATATGAACACATTTTCTTTCAGTTAGTTTGGAGTTTTTCCTAAAGCAGTGTTATTTCTGAAGTTACTTTCTGGCTGATTTTAACACATGAACATTTGTAGGCTCTTATCAATTATCTGATTGGCTGAAACTTTGTATAGTTGGCCACTCATAGTGGTACATGCCTATAATTCCAGGAATTCTTGAGGCAGGAGGATTGCCAAGAGTTCAAGGCCATCCTGAGCTATGTAGCAAAACACTGTCCCAAAAAAACCCCATAAACAAAAACCTTGTACTGCTTTGGAGTTCCATCATTTGTCACTTATTATTCATGTTTACGGTGTCTTGAGTTTTAGAATTGGTTATATGTGAAAAGAACAGACCTCAGAGAAATAGTTTCCTTTCTTCACATCAAGGTTGTGAGGCAGATTCTGTTGAGAATGTTATGGGTTCTCAACATAGAAACCAGATCTGAGTCTAAATCAAAATTTAAATATGATGGA